AACTTCAACATTTTCGACTATGCACATACTTATACACACCCTCACATACACACACTCACACACACTCGCAACCATTTCCGTTTCCGCACGCTTGACGCTGGCAGTAGCTAAAAAAAAAACACAATATATGCACATATATAAAAACAACTGCAGGAGTTTAGACTAGCCAGAAAGACTGACAAATACCCTGTAAAGCAGTTGATCTGTTGGAAATATTGGAGAAGAAGAATTGGAGAAGAAAAAGTGGGAAAGAAGAACTGAGGCAAAGAAATATTGACTGAGTATTAAGTAAATAAAAATATATTAAAAAAATCGATTGCTAAATACTTCATAAAGAAAGAAAGCAAAATCAAATAAATACAATGAAGAAATACTTATAAAAAAAAGCTACATTTGCACTGTTTTTTTTTTGGAGTGAATTAAATACAAGAAATAAATTTATTAAAAATATTTTGGAATAAAAAAAACTTGCAAAAGCTAAAAAGAAATAAACGGAAAAGCGATTGCTAAATCCTTTGTAAGGAAAAAATAAAAATCAAATAAAATACTTTAAAACAAATTTTATATATGCTCTGCTTGACACTATATTATAAAAAATAATAATAATAATAAATAGTAATAAAAAATAATATAAATAAATTTAAAATATTTGGAAAAAACTTTGCAAAAGCTAAAAAAAAGTAAAACTTGCCTTCAAAGCAATTGCTAAATACTTCATAAAGAAAAAATCTAAAAATAAAATAAATATAATGTAAGAAATTATTAAATAACAGTAAATATGCACGGCTTTCTATTTTATATTATAAAAAATATAAATTATAAAAATATATAATTTTTATATATTTTTATTATAAATTTTTATATTTTATATTATTATATATTATATTAGAAAGAAACTTGCAAAGCTAAAAAAACGTAAAACTTTTCCTCAGCTACTTTTTGGCTAGTTTTAGCTAACAAACTAATCGTTGTTTCTTAGAGCATATCTACACGGAATGCAACTTGATGCCAACTTTTTCTAGGGTATGTCAGATATTGCCGCAGCCATGTCTACAAATGAAAATAAAGGAACGTTATACAAAATAAAGTTTGAATCTGAGCGGTGAACAGCAAAAAGGCTGATGTTGTTGTTGTTGTTGTGGTTGTTGTTGCTGAAGTTTTTGTTGTTGCTGTTGTTGTTGCTGCTGCTGTTGCTGAAGTTGTTGTTGCTGCTGCTGCCGCTGTCATTGGCAGTCGCAAGGGAAACAAACTCAAGCTCAAATGTTTTTTTCCTCGCGGCAAGCTTCTCATTTTGTTGTTGTTGTTGTTGTTGGCCTGGGGCGTCGCCAAAGCGGCATTTAAAGAGCGCTCAACAGCAGGTAGCAGCGACCTGTGGAATCGACTCCAGTTGCTGCTGCTGCTGCTGCTGCCCCCAACTCAGCTAGCTGCAATCCCTCCAATCCCACTAGAAATTGCCGCCAATGTCACGTTTTTCTCTTTCTTTTTCTTTACTTTTTTATTTTCTTTTTTTTCGTTTGCGGCCAAGTGTTTCTTCGACGGCCTGGTAATAGTTATTTGCATAATATTTGCACAAATAATTGAATTTGTGTTCTTAGCCGCGACTCGCCAAATTGCTCGAGTGAACTTTTCCTCGACTCTGTGCAGATAATGGCAAACATTTTGAAGCGCCTGCAATTGAAGTTTCTGAATGTTTAACTTGCCATGAAATTGAACGTTCAGCAGCGCCAGAGCCAGAGCCAGAGCCAGAGCGAGAGCTAGAGCCTCATTTGTTTTGTCTAGAAAGTTGAGCGCGCGCTGCGCCTGCATGTGTTGTCCTTGAAGGACAATAATAGTATGGGGTCTTTATCTGGTTA